TACGGTACGTCGATTCATGTACCGTAACAGTAAATGCCAAACGGCCCAGATCGAATCTAGGCCGATCTGACTATCACAGATGTCCAGTAGTGTTTTATTTTTTATTTTTGTTTACAAATCAGAATGATCTGAAATTTGGAGCATGTAAAAATAAGCGAATCTACGAAAAATATCAAAAAAATATTTTACATGAAATAAATTGATCAAAATACCCCTGAAACATTTCAGGGGTATTTTGGTCAAAAATAGTTTTACGAATTATTATTATTTTTTATTTTATATATTTTTATTAGGTGCGCCTCACTGAGATGTACATATATTCCAAATTTTAGATTATTCTAATTCGTAAAAAAAATTTAAATTCAAACACTCTCAAACAACTGTGACCGTCAGATCGGCTCAAATTCTATCTGGGTCATTGGGCGTTTACTACAGTGGTACGTACATGGGCGTACATGAATTTTTTCCATATATCTATCGTAAAATCAAAGGATGAAAGAATAGCTTGCCATCAGGCAAATATTTGTTTAGAAACAAGATTTTTGACATCTTTGAAAAGAATTTTTTTGGCTGACTTGCAGTCAGTACATATTAAAAATTGAGTATTGAGTAGGGCACTTTGGAATTTAGTGACACAATGAACAATTGCTAGGATTTTGTTTTTTATCGTTGAATAATTTTGTTGAGTTTTATTCCAGGCTTTAGAGGTGAATCGTACTAGCTGTTTTTTATCATGAATTTTTTGCTTTAATATTCCTCCCAACCCTAGTTCGGTGGCATCACATTCTATTATTTTAAAAGTATTTGGGTCTGCTAAAACCAAGCAGGGTAATATTTTTGCTTTTCTTTTAAGTGATTGGACAACAAAAGTATGTTGCTCCGTCCATTTAGGGGGGTTCTTTTTCAGTCTTTCGTATGATGGTTTAGCTATGATAGCTAAATTTTCAATAAAGTCTGAAATATAATTCAAACATCCCAAAAATCTTTGTAATTTTGTTTTATTAAGGATAATATCAAGAAATTTATCTGCAAATTCTATTGCCCTATCTATAGGGATAATGGAACCTTGGAATATATTATGGCCTAAGAATCTAATTTTTGTTTGGCAAAGATTGATTTTTTTAGAGGAGACTACCAAACCTGTATTCTTTACTGCATTTATAAAGGCCTTGATATGCTTAAAATGTTGTTGAATATCCTCTGAAAAGATCAAAACATCATCAATATATACAATCATGAATTTCATGTATGGATTAAGCACATCATTCATTATATTTTGGAATTTCGAATGTGCATTTTTCAGTCCAAAGGGCATGACATTCCATTCATATTGTCCAAAGGGGATATTGAAAGTTGTTTTATATCTTTCTTTTCATCAATTTGAATTTGCCAAAATCCTGATTTTAAATCGAATTTTGAAAAGATAAGTGATCAAATTTTGAAAAGATAAAAGGTAATTCTAAGCAGTT